AAATACATTTTATATAATAATAGAAATTTATTTCACGAAAAAATTCATATCTTTTGAGAGTGTGCGTACACACAATGTAGAAATATGATATATATGATTATACCCTCAAGAAATCTTCTTAGGCTTATGTTAATAGACTGGAAAATGATGAAACTCCGCAGCAATCATGATGAATTTTACAATATTCTTGAAATTCTTCGGGTGAAATGGTATCTTTGTACATTTGTAATGTCATATATCCATATGCCCAATACGATGGTTTTGTATTACCATGTCCATGTCGATTAAATCCATCTCGATAAACATGTAAATTACGTTTCATATATTCTTCTTTTATTTTTGCCCATTCAGCGTCAAAACCTAACGTATTGAAAATATTTTCAAATTGATGTAAATCAGGTGTAAATAAAACATTTCCATTATTCCAAACAGGTTCATCATTTTGTTTATAATCTCTTCCTAATAAAAATATTTTAATAATATCTAAACGTCGTGGAACGTTTTCGTTTAAATCTAATAATTTATTTTTTAATTCAATAAATCCTAAACTTGAAGAATTTGCTATAGCTAATTGAATTTTACCACGAGTTAAACCTTCTCGCATTAGTTGAACTACTTGACCATGATCCGTTGCTTGTAGAATTGATTGAACTAAAATTGTAGATAATTCTGTACGTTCTGCACGTCCTTTTAATGCTAAATCAGTTGCATATTGATTTTCAAATCGTTTTCGTATATAATCTTGTACAACTTTTTTCGCTGCTTGTTCATCAACTAAATCAATCATTTTCATTACTTCATTATCACTATCAACACGACTAGCTTTACTAGTATATACAAGTGCTTGAAAAACATTATAAAATTTAAACGTTTTTAAATCATAATTGATTTGTAATTCTTCACAAATAAATTTTTCATTAATTGACGGAATATTTTTCATACTATCAATATTATTATTAATAACAGCCGATATATATTTAGGTAATAAAGTAATATAATCAACATAATAAACTGTTTGAAGTAATTCATCTAAATATATTTCATCCGTATGTATTTGATCATGAAATTGTATTTCATTTAATGATGGTTCAACTTCAAATGATGGTTGTAATGATGTTTTATATTTATTTAAATCAAGTCCAATTAATTGATCAAGCATTTTTTGTGCAATTTGATCTGAATCATCTCGATTTTTATATTGTCGTCGAATTGCTTGCCAAATTTCATAAGTATATAAAGCTCGTAAAATCTTTGGTATTTGTTCTAATTTTGTTATATCATTTTCACGATATAATTTAATAAATGGACTTATCATATTTGTTGTTCCATTATTTGCAATATAATAAGATAATTGATTATTTTGTTGTTGTTTAATATAAGGCATTATATGTTGAAAATAATTACCAACAACAATTTCATATGTTTTAACTACTTCATTAAAAGTTTTTAAATGTATTTCGGATTTATTTATATTTAAATCTTCAATTAATTTCCAAACACCAGCACAAATGGTATAACCAGCAGTCATTGGAACATCTGCTAATAGACGTCTCATACCAATTGAACAAGTATATTCTAATAATGACGGTGCATATTTTTGTAAAAATTTTGCAATACGTTCATCTTCAATAATAGGAATAACATTTGTAATATCTTTATTTATAGCTGGTGCTTGTAATGATCGACCTTGTGATTGCATGAAAGCTGTTAAAACATCGGATAAACTAACATAACAACCTACATAGATTTCATTAACTCTCCATGTCATCGGATCAGGAAATTCACCAATTGGACCTGAACAACCTACACCAACTATATTTATCATTCGTAAAATATCATTTGCATCAATATCATCTAGAATATTATCCGTAACTAATTCACAAACAGTACGAATTCCACCAAGTGTTGTATCTTGAGAAAAAAATGATACTAAATGATTATTATCATCAATATCTTGTAATTCATGAATATGTTCAGCCATAATTCGTACTTCTTTACGAAGAATTTCATTAAAATCTAATCCCTGTGTAACAGCACGTCGTGCTAAACCACGAGCATTTTTCGAAGTATTATCAACTGCACGTAAATAGTCAGCTTGTTGTGCAGAATTCAATTGTGAAACTTTATCATCATTAGCAATTTGAGACATTCGCATAACAAATGATTTCTTTTTACGAATAATCGATGTTTTTAAATATTGTAAACGAGCACGTAAACTAGAATCATTAAGAAGTATTTTCACATCATCTTGATTTGTTAATAATGAACTTTCCATATTTTGAAAATAATTCATCATATCTTTAATTTCATTTTTCGATTCATTTGTATTAACAATTTTAAGAATTCTTAATTGATTTATATAATATTCAATTTTTGTTTTCAATAAATTTTCATATGTATCAACAGTTAATCCTTCTTTTATATGAATTTTAACATTTGTTTCACCAACAATTAAATTTCCTGTGGGTAATTTACTTAACCAAAATAAATTCTCACCTGGAAATAATGATAGAGTATTATTCATAGTAGTTTGCCATGGTGTACTTTTTAAAATAGTTTCATCAGATTTTAATATCGCATGTTGATTTAATGAATCATTAGAAAATAAACTAGCAATTGTAGCAATAATTTCTATATTTGTTAAACTTGTTTGTAAATCAAGTAGATTTACATTTGAGACATTATTTAATTGTAAAAGACTTGAAACAGCTTTTGTATCGGGTTGAGATGATGAAGTGAAAAGACGAACAGCTTGAGAATTAATCGTGAACTCATTTTTAATTAATAAAGCTAATTGAGCTGCTTCAGTTTGTACATTAGCTGGATCTTGAACTTCTCCATCGGATATTGTTAATAATCGTAAACTATGACAATCTTTGGGTATATCATCTCGAATGAATTTTGTTAAAGTAGAAATACCAGTTGCCATAAAGGTTTGACCTTGACATTTAATACTGAATTTAGATAATTGATTCGCTGGAATTTTATATAAATTAGGAGTACTATCGAATGTAATCAATATAATTGTATCATTTTTATTATAGCCAAGTGTTTTGAAAATGCCTGGTAAAATTTCATTAACAAATCTTGGAACAGAATTACCCATAGAACCAGAACGATCGAGAATAACAACGGTAGATATCTTTGATTCTGATAGAAGAGTTTTATCGATAGCAACATTACCTGTTGTATTTAATGCTATTTTTCCAATAAAACCATTTTCATTAGGATAAAGAAAAAGATCAAGATCAGTCGCCATAGTTTTATTATGTTTAAAAAGAAATAAAGTACTGTTTCAGAATGAATTGATGTGATAGTATTTATAGTTTTAAAATAGCTGATGTAATTGTACTTGATTTTATATGCAATGGTGCGAACGTAAAAATTGCACAACACGTCGGTAACATTAATAAAAATAAACGCAATAACAATCGGGTATATACGTGTGTTTGTCTTCCTGCACTGACGTCACGTGTTTTTCTTTTTTGACAATATAATGAGTCATAATATGATGTGAAAATTATATTATAAAAATATTTAGACGACTAATTTATTATTGTCAAATACTATTTTACACTGGAAGATTTATACTATTATATAGATTAGTTACTTTCAACTGTGCTGTCGATCGAAGTAACAATAATTGAATTAATTTTGCGATATAATCAATGATATTCTAGAGAGTTGGACTAAATGTGAAAAGTAAGATTAGGTCACAAGAAGTATTCAGTACGTAAAATGTCCATCACACATTCGAAAACAATACAGAGACTATAAAACTGATAAGATTTTATATCAGATAAAAAGTTTACCATATAGCATCTCTATAAAGCCGGTCTAGTTTTCTCAGATTACTTCCTATGACAGTTTTCGTTATTTACTTTATTTCAATAGACTGACGTGTCTATTTTAAAATCTAATCAAAATCATCTAAATATAGCATACTGAATATTATTTCATTGTAACAATGCTAATTAATGATTTTTCAATAATATTAAGTCACTTCAAGTGATTCTTAACCAAAATCAAATGCCGTTAAGTTTCTAAAGAAATACTAGAATGTTCTATCATATATGATTTTAATTTGAACATAAAATAAATCAAGAGAATAAATAAATAGACATTGAGTTTTATAGTTTCTAAAAAGTGTTTAAATAATACATTGTTTGAAAAAGAAAAGTCAAAATTCGATTATTTGTCTTCGCAAATATGTATTAACATTAATGCACATTTCGAACGGTCGATATACCAATCCGATTTCTTGCTATTCGTCTTCGTATTAATTCATTTATTTTTCTTAGTAATTCAGGATATGTATTCAAACATACAATTGGTAATAATAATGGAATAAAATAAACAATAAATAGCATTGTATCCGCTTCATCAATAAAAAATGTTGGTATACTGGTCATTCGAATGATATTTGATAAAGTCGATGGTAACCAAAAAGCTAAATAAACGGATGAAATGAGCCATAACTGAAATGTCATTTTACGATGACGACGCCAGTTAACTACTTGATGATGTATAATTTTTTGATATATTACACGAATAATCAGAAATATATTTGCAAATGTAATCACACCAAGTGGACAAACAACATTAACTACAAACTCAACTATTGCATAATAACCATTATATGTAGTGTAAAAACATGGTGCCCCACACATATATAGATCAAAATACCATGTATTAACACAAAATGGAGGAATAATAATAAGTACAAAATCAAATATTAACACCCATGCAAAGCATAAGAAAATTGGGATATAATGTGCCATCCACATTTTCCATCGAACTCTCATGATTGTTTGAGAATGAAAAATAAAAAAATGTCGTTCGATTGATGCCCAAGCCATTAGATATAAACCAAGAAAATCTAATGATGATTCATACCAATTCCACCAAACACAATAGCCATCATTTTTTACCCATATTTTACCTTGAGAATAGTAACTCATAGACATAGGTAAATTAGTAACTAAGTACAGAAAGTTAAGAATAAGAAGAATAAGCCATATATGATTTTTTGATTTGGAACGAGCGTTACGATCAGATGCAAAATATATAAATATAATGATTGAAACTAAAATTGCTGGAATTTGAAAAACAAGCAAAAGTATAAATTTGATTGTAGGATCCATATTTGTTTTAAAATCTCTAATGAGATATGGCGAACTTTGTTCTCTCTCTCTATATATATGTATGTAATGATGATAGATTATACGAGATATTCGTGAACATGCTGTTTACACCCGGAAACATATAGAGACAAATCTTATTAAAAAAAACGCTGTCGCCTAATAAAAAAAAATATATATATTTTTAACACTGAAAATGTTAGTCTTCTCATTAACAAAATGAATGTATGTTCTATTAAAAGAGTATAGTGAAAACAATTTTACCAGCATGACATAACATCAAGGAGGAAAAGACTGATTTCTTGTGATATCGAGTATGGAAATCAGTTTGTTCGCCCTACGATATTTCTATGCCTTTATGCTACAGAATGCGGTAAAAGTCGCTGCATAATGATAGAATTAAACTGTCTTCATGAACGTAGACACAACAGTCAGATCATATTTCACATTTTAATCCCGTGACAGATTGCCCTAACAGCTTTTTTCATTTCAAAATATATTTTATTCCATTAATTTTT